TTTGGGATTTTTTTGCAGATGAGTTCGGATGATTTCGACATCGTCATCGAGGCCATGCTGGAGGCGCCCTACAAGAAAGAGGAGGTGAAAATTTTGGGAATTTTTGGGAATTTTGGGGATTTTGGGAAAATTTTGGGAATTTTGGGAATTTTTTTGGAATTTTTTTGGGATTTTTCGCCATTTTTTGGGAATTTTTAGGGAACTTTGAGGATTTTTTGTGAATTTTTGTGCAATTTTGGGGGGATTTTTTTAGCATTTTTTGGGAATTTTTTTTGAATTTGGGAATTTTTGGGACTTTTGGGAAATTTTGGGAATTTTGGGGATTTTTGGGAAATTTTTCGGGGAATTTTTTTGGCATTTTTGGGGATTTTTTTTACATTTTTGGGGATTTTTTTGGAATTTTTTTGAGTTCTGGGAATTTTTTCTGAATTTTGGGAATTTTGGGGAATTTTGAGGTTGTTTTGGGGTTCTTTTGTGATTTTTTGAGGAATTTTTTTTAATTTTTGGGTATTTTTGGAAATTTTTTTTGAATTTTGGGAATTTTGGCAATTTTTTTGGAATTTTTGGGAAATTTTGGGAGTTTTGGGGTTGTTTTGGGATTTTTGGGGGGAGAATTTTAGGGAATTTTTGGGGAATTTTTGAAAAAATTTGAGCGTTTTTGGGGAATTGGGAATTTCAGGACTTTGGGGGGATTTTTGGGAATTTTGGGGTCATTCCGCGGGGTTTTTGTTTCATTTTTTCCCATTTTTCCCATTTTTTCCCATTTTTCCCCCATTTTTTCCCTCTCCAGGCTCAGCCCGGCCCCTCCAAAGCGACGTCGGAGCCGCCCCCGGCCCAGGTGAGAATTTCGGGAATTTTTTTGGGAATTTTTGGGAATTTTTTAAAAAATTTGGGAATTTTTGGAAAATTTGGGGGAATTTTTGGGAACTTTCAAAAAATTTCGGGAATTTTTTTTTGAATTTTGGGGAATTTTTAGGAACTTCTGGAAAATTTTTGGAATTTTTTTTGAATTTTGGGGATTTCCAAAAAAATTCCCAAAATGCCCAAAAATTCCCCAAATCCAAAAAAAAATCCCCAAAAATCCCCAAAAAATAAAAAAAAAAATTCAAAAAATTAAAAAAAAATCTCCAAAAAATCCCCAAAGAATCCTAAAAAATCCCCAAAAAAATCCCCACAAAATCCCAAAATCCCAGAAAAATTCTGGTGAAATCCTTAAAAATTTGGGAATTTTCAGCCCCAAAACCCCAAAATCCCAAATTTTTTCCCCAAAATCCCAAAATTTTAACCAAATGTCCCCAAAAATTCCCAAATTTCCGACCCAAATTCCCGATTTTTTGCCCCAAAATCCCCAGATTTTTCCCCAAAATCCCCAAAAATTCCCCAAATTCCTAAAATTCCCCAAATTTTTTAAATTTTTCCCAAAATTTTGATTTTTACCCCCAAAGGAGCCCCCGGAGGAGCCGAAGGAGCCCAAAAAGGAGAGCGGCAGCAGGTGAGGAAAATTCCGGAATTTTGGGGGAAAAATTGGGAATTTTGGGCGAATTTTGGACAATTTTGGGAAAATTTTGGGAATTTTGGGGGAAATTTGGGGAATTTTGGGTAAAATTTTGGGAAAATGTTGGAATTTTGGGAAAATTTTGGGAATTTTTGGGAATTTTTGGGGAAATTTGGGAATTTGGGGAAAATTTTGGGAATTTTTTGGAAGAATTTGGATATTTTTGGGAAAAATTGGGAATTTTGGGGGAAATTTGGGGAATTTTGGGTAAAATTTGGGGAAAAAATTTGGAATTTTGGGAAAATTTTGGGAATTTTGGGTGATTTTGGGGAAATTCGGGGAAAAATTTGGAATTTTGGGAAAATTTGGGAATTTTTGGGAATTTTGGGGGATTTTGGGTAAAATTTGGGGAAAAAATTTGGAATTTTGGGAAAATTTTGGGAATTTTGGGGGAATTTTGGGAAAATTTTGGGAGTTTGGGAATTTTGGAAAAATTTGGGAAAAATTGGGAAATTTTGGGGAAATTGGGGAAAATTTGGGGAAAATCTGGGAATTTTGGTGGAATTTTGGTGTTTTTTTTCCTTTATTTCCCCTAAATTGTCCTAAATTTTTCTAATTTTTCCCCAAAATTCCCAAATTTTCCCAAAATTCCTGAGTTTTTCCCCAATTTTGTTTTTTTTCAGTTCCAGCAGTCGGAAGAGGCGGAGCCGGAGCCGCGAGCACGGACACAGGTCGGGAAAATTCTGGAATTTTGGGAAAATTTGGGAATTTTGCAGAAAATTCAGGAATTTTGCAGAAAATTTGGGAATTTTTTGGGAAAATTTGGGGAAAGTTCAGGAATTTTGGGGAAAGTATAGGAAAATTTAGGAATTTGGGGGGAAATTCAGAAATTTTGGGGGAAATTTTGGAATTTTTTGGGAAAATTTAGGGATTTTGGGCAGAATTTGTGGATTTTGGCCGATTTTGGTCGCGATTTTTCAGGATTTTGACCTA